CAGCTTGGACTGAACTGACGATGAGCTCTTTAATGCTTGAAAAAAGAGAAATTTGCTCTTGTCTCTGAAGTCGTCTACCGGTTTCAGTAATTTCTGTGTCAGACTGCCTTTAGAAAACGTAAATTAAAGAGGTGTTCTGTAAATATCTAGAGTTCCCGATTATAGGCTATGATGCAAAAGTGAGGTAATTAAAGACCTGACAAAACAAAAGATGTGAAATAACATGAACAATGTACTGATGTGTTCAGCTAACCAAAATAAATAACCAAAAATGAACATTTGCTGATAATTTTACCCAAATGGGTGATAACCCTGCAGGCACAGGATACCAACATGACGCTGTATTACCGTTTTACCCTGTCATGGGGAAGTTGGATTTTGTATTGCAAAAAAAAATCAGGTTGAGGTTAGAACCCAACGTCAGACCGAAGTCAATGTCCAACATCCAACCTAAAATCAACCAAATTTCAACATCTAATCATGTTACACCTTGATGTTGTATGGGCGTTACCACTATGACATCTATAAGACATTGGATTTTGGTCACTTTCCAACAAACCCTAAAATCAACCAAATATCAAGCAATTGGACGTCAAAATAACGTTGTCCTCAGATGCTGGCACATTGAATTGTGGTGACCTGATGTTACGATTTAAATCTAACCTCTTATTAACGTCTTATGATGTTGTGTGCCTGCTGAGAAAATGACCCAAAAAGTTACTATTTGATCATAAAATTTTAATTTTTCATCTTTTACAATGTGAAAAATGTTATGTGAAGTACAATATATCGTTTCAGCATTGATATCACAATGTGCAATTCTGCAATAGCCACATCGCAAGATATCCAATGTTGAGATTATAATTGAGCAAGAGCCATAATTTCAAAAACATGAGATTTGTAGTGTTTAACCGTAAAAGATTAACAGTCATGATTTTGCATGTGTTTTAAGACCTGTGACGTTGGACAAGAAGTTGTACCATTTGTAACTTTAATAAATATTTATTTTTATTAACCTATTTATTTATATAAAAAATGCTATAACAGTGCTATTTTACATATGATTATTACATATTATTTTTCATTTCTGCACTTCCCAGAAATCTATAAAGTAATCTGCATTTTTTTTTTGAAGGTCTTAAAGACCTCAACATTTTTTTTTCATTTTGCATTTATATTTGCTCAATTGTATTTATTTATGCTTTAAAACTGTTTATTTTATGCATGATTGATTCACAGTCTAATCTCAAATCAGTCTAAATTAATGAATTCATGCAAATAAGGTTATTCAAACTATCTGATAAAATTCTTATCGCTATCTATCTATCTATCTATCTATCTATCTATCTATCTATCTATCTATCTATATATATATATATATATATATATATATATATAGCAAAAACTAAATATTACAATGTTTTCTTTTTTCAATATAGTGCAGCTATATGCAGTATATATTTGGGGCAGTACGTTTATGTTTTCTCTTGTGCTCATTAAAAACAGTAAAAAAAATAATATCAACATTTTTTACTTTTAATTTATTTCATTTTATTATTATTTTTTTATTTAATTTAATGATTTTCTTTTTGGCTTAGTCCCCTTATTAATCAGGGGTCACCACATCAGTAATTTAATTTATTATTATTTGTATATATTCAACAATGTATCGTCTTGCTGTGTTGACATAGCTGAATGTTTACATTATTGCTCCAGTCTTCAGTATGACATGATTCTTCAGAAATCATTTTAATAATGCTGACTGGATGATCAAGAAGCATTTCTTATTATTACTACTAATGCTGAAAAATGTTGTGCTGCTTAACTTTCTTTTCTCACATCTGAAAAACGTAATGCACTTATGCTGGATTTCTAAACAACAAACAATACATCTTAGCCGTACTTTTAAATTGTAGTGTTTATCATCTAACATGAACAGTAAAGTTGTAAAAGCAGTTGCTGCATGCCCCAGGAATGAGGGCGAGTGATTGTGAAAAAGACAAGATTAAAACCAAACCATTTCTAAATGCATGATTGCTTCACACTGTCACAAGTCAAATAACATCTGCTCTTTGCACTGATGACCCCCAATTCACAAGAAAACACAGGCTTAATATATTAGCTAATGTAAAGCCATTTGCATTGTGACCATCTATTCAAATGCATTTCATCTGAGCTCACATTCACAATGAAGAGCAACTGAATGTGTTTCCATTAGAACCAATATAACCCCAGATGTCTGCTCGTTTGCGTCGAGTGTCATTTTGAATCTTCAGTCTTCCTCTCAATTTGTTTCTTGTAATTAGTTTCTTATCCTTCCCCCAACCAAAAGCCAGGGTCAATTCACCATGCTAGATGACCCCTTTAGGTTAATTAGCCCTCGGCAGGACAACAACACTAATGTGAACTGATGCATAAACACTCTGAGTGGACAGAGAGCGAGCGACTGCACTGCCCCGGGCCGTTCTAGGCCTAAAACACTGAAGATCGGACCAGTCGTATCATGAACAGCATGATAAGAAGAGGTAGAAACCACATGGAGAGCCTACACAAAGATAGTGGAATTGGTATTGTTCTTAGAAAACTATAAACGGAAATACAAAATGGAGTATGTGCACAGCTAGAGTTTTTCAGCCAATGATAAACTTTTTGTGACTATTTTCAATTTCATAAGGTTTCTTTTACAGCATCGATGTTGTCATATAATTACTATACATTCAGTTAAACAGACCTAAGCATTAATTTAGCTGTTCAAGCGTAAAACGAGATGAAAGACCATATAAGAAACTAATGACGTCAACAGGCGAGAGCAGAAACTCTATTGAAATGAAAATACAGGGGTAAAATAAACTGTCATATTTTAAAGACATGGCGGGGGAAATGGAATTTAATGCAGTGCTTCTTGTCCAGTCTGAGACCCACTTTATATCGTATATTTATCAGGCAGTGAATTGAAGGTGCATGTTTAGGGGAAATGAATGATGTTATTCTCTAAAATGTATTTTTAGGTGAAAAGTTAAAACTTTTCTTTTTGTAATGTTTGTAATTTGTAGTGTTAGGTATTAATTGTATGTTTTTGAGTGTAATCGTTTACGTTGGGCAGTTGTTATTACTGTTTCAAGAGTTCACACTTGATGATTGCTAATAAAGCGTGTTTGGCAGGCTGCACCAGTGGCGTTTCTGCTGTGAGGCAACAGTGCTGACCACTGGACCGCCATGCTGCCCTATCAGGAGCAGGGGGAGGAGTAGGGGTGGAAGGGGGGATTCTTCAATATGAAGATGACTAAAGTAAAAAACTCATGTTATTCACAGTCGGGTTAGTATTGGTCTGATTGACGCAATATGTGTAACTGATGCAGGACCAGCCGTGATCAATCATAAGCTCGTGATGCTCCCGAAATTAGTTTATAAATAAACCGCACTTCAAATAACTTTTTATCGACTAGTTGGAGATCATAAGAATTTGATTCCAACTCTGTTCTGATTTGTGTCAATAAAATACATACTGTATTTATCTATATTTAAAATGTCCATATTTTAAACAGTACACTATCCAGCACATTTTAATCACTGCTTTGTTATTAGTGCAGTGAAGACTAGGCATGGGACGATAACCAATTTCAAGGTATACCATGGTTTGGAAAAGTCAAGGTTTTAAAACCGTCACAATTTTCTGCTATACCGTTCCTAAGGTAGGGGTAAGTTTTTTTTTTTATTTACAATTTTTTTGTTAGTTTTTTTAGGACAACAGTATCTCCAACTGAAAAGATATCCAAAGATACCATTTTAAATTGTAAAGAAATCTGTGTTTCTTTGGACTGACAGTGTTTCAATATACTATAATCTTTTTTTATGTTAAGCTGCTTTGACTCAATCTACATTGTAAAAGTGCTATAGAAATAAAGAAAATTTGTTTTCAAAACTAATGAAGTCCAAGTTAGCCTGACATATTTAGAGCTGCAAAATGTTTTAAATGTTTCTCAAAGTAAAATTTATTGCGGAAAAAGCTGTTTTCACCCAAACATATAAAAAGAACTTTTTTTTAGCAGTAATCACAATACCATGAAACTGTGATATTTTTATCCAAGGATATTATACCATCAGAATCTTTTACCAGCCCATACCTACTGAAGACATTTTAATCATAAAATTAAAGTGCATTAGGGCCTGTCAGTTCTTCAGTATCTCTGGTCCTGGGGTATTTTTTCCTGTAGTTTTTCTTTAATGAGGGATAAAGTTCAATATGACGCAAATTTAAATGATTAAGTTTGTTGCAAAAAATGCATATAGATAGAAATATGTATGTACTTTTTGAGGACAGAAAGATGAAATCAATCATGAAATCTTCTATGCTTCAAGGGAGTGGGGGGAGATAGATAGTACTTCAGTTAGACTTTGCTAAATATGATTGTTATAGGTAGAATTTTCTGTAACATCATAAGTAATGTAGATTTTCTGCACAAATTGAGCTAATAAACCTAAAAAAGCTGAATCAATGTGAAAAGATAAGTTCAACAAAGCATTCACAATGGACTGATAATCTATGAGCTCTGAGTTCAGTTTTTAAATGCATCAATTACTTGCAAAAATCAACTTAATTAAGTTGAAAAAAATAAGAACATTAAGTTTAAACTTTCATAACGTGACTGTTGCAACATGCCTTTAACAGATCCTTCACACACTTTAAATGTTTTTTTATAATATGTAACATATTATTTTAGAGAATGAATTCTCTGATAAGAGAGTCATCCTAACTGGTTTAGCAGGCATTTAAAAATGTGAAACTTTCTCAACTCAATCCAAATCAGATAAATGTTAGCAGCTCTGCACAACAGCAAATCCACTAAAAAGACAAAAACCCTTTCATAAAACGTCTATGTTCTTTGTGTCTTTTCTTTTCATTATCCTGCCTACTGTGGGAGAGTGAAATCCTGTGAAAACCCCATCAAACAAACACTACAGTACACAGAAAAGTAAACACTGCAAGAATGCTGTCTTACCCAGATCTCCATGGAAACTGTTGCTGAAGTTGTTAGAGCTTCCCTCACTGGGCCAGATCTTGCGGACACCGCTATTGGCTTCAGAGAGTGCTAACTGCTGCTTGAGACGCTTTTGGGACTGTGGTGTGGGAGGGCTGCCACTCTCGAACGACTGCTGGGAGTGCTGGGATGGAGAGCGGCTCTTCTCTCTGTACATTCGGTAGGCGGTGGGGCTTGGAGACACGTGGCTGGACTGTCCTGAGGAGAAGTCTTCTTCACTTGATGTCAGGTTTTCATTGGAGCTGCAATCTGGCGTGTATCCATCCTCGAAACTCCCAGGTGAGTAAGAGCGCCTGGGCCACGTCAAGTGCAGGTCCTCCCCGTCTCCCATTATGCCTCCAACGTAAACAGTCGTGTAGGGCTGACAGTCAGACTGCTGCCAGTTCTGCTGAGGTGCTCTTCTTCCATTAAGTCTTACCGAACTGTCCTTGAGGAACCCAGGGTTCAAATCAGAGTCCTCGTAATCACAGTTGCAGCCACTGTCTATGGCTCTTTCGTGAGATCGCTCTGGCTTTCGCATGTCTCCAAAAGCGGTGGACAAATTTCCAGGGACAGAATGCAAAGACCTCTTGCGCTCCATTTGCATAGCCTGACTGCCCAAACTACTTATCTTCTCTGAGACGTCTCTATCGTTGACCCGAACAAGACCCTTCTCATGGTGGTACTCCATGTTGACGTAGTAAGGCCTTTCACTTTTTCCTTCGCCAGATGACTGAGAATTGGCTCTTCTTATACGTTCAAAGTTGGAGCGAAGTGCTGCAACTCCCAACCCAGAGGTGACCTTCGGTGGAGACTCTGAAATACCATCCGCATCTTGGGACACAGGTCCACGTCCAGTGATGGCTCTGGGGGATGTTTCAACACTCCTCTTTTTGTATGGAGACATCCCATCAATCTCTCCGTCTCTGTTTTTCTGTTTGTCTAAGTCTGAAATATCACCTCCCACCACCTCAACACATTGCTGAGGCTCACGACTCTCCTCTACTGCTGTCGAATGCTTCAGTTTGGCTGGGAGACACCTGCTTCCATCTGGTTTTTGATGATGGCCATCCATAGATGCTGGCTTTCGCTCACTTTGTGAGACCCTATTGAATCCCCATCGCTGAGAGTCGTGGCTTCTTCGCTCCTTGGCCAAAAGTGTTTGCAGGTAGATCATTCGAAATCGCTCCTTGTTTACTTCCATCTCCAGTCGCCTAATGGAGTTTCGGCATTTCTCCAGTTCTAGCTCGATGTCTCCGACAGAGTTTAAAGACATCTCAGGAGGGTCTGAGTCAGGGAACTGAGCTTTCCAAGCTTCCACAAAACCGACAGGTTCTACCATGATTGCTTACAGCAGGTTTTTCTTACTAGTGGAAAAAAGTGACATTAGAATTCACTTGTTTTTATGTATACACCCAAAGCATAAGTTTATATCCAACATTTGTCCAGTGTACATGCAAAACATCATCTCAACATCTGATAAACACTTACTCAGCTTATCTTGGAAAGACAAACAAGCAGCATAGCAGAAACATCCATGTGCACTTCAAACACCTATTCACATCCCATGTCGTTTAAATGGCAAATGATGATCCCTTGTGAACAGATTCGGGTGCAAAATTCACATATTATTCATATCAGCTGCTTAAAAAGATTAGGTTTGCTAATGTATCCTAAGAAGTTATCAGGAAAATAGCGCTGTTATTTTCTCAGTCGTCCGTATTTCTCAGAGATATGCTGTACTCCTGCAGAGCGACCACGGGCATCGCTGTCCGACTCTCCATATGATCAGATTGGATCTGCGCTCTCTCTCTCTCTCTCTTTCTCCCTCTCAGCGCTACTGCAGGAAGAGGTGGGACTAGACGAGTACATGATTAATAGTGACTGCTCAGACAATCTCAGTTTAAAGACACAGACTCGGGATTTGGGAGAAAGACAAAAGAAAACGTGCGAAACTGCTAGCGACGTTTAACCAGCACAGATTTAAATCAAGCACTCGTCACCGCGACCCCCAAAATAAAAACATTCGTCTTTCTAAAGTGTTTGTGGCAGAATATGAATGTTTTATCGTTTAAGTTAAAAAATAACATGTTTTACAAACTATGAAGATAAGTTATGCAAAAAAACACGCTATTTTACATTTAAAAACTTGTACACCTGACCGTGCGGTGACGTGTTGTAGGCCTAGTGTCTGTCGTGTGGACTTGTCTCCATCTTGCGTTTCTTTTGGGAGTAGCAGTTTAACGTTTTGTTTTTCTCCTGCGTAAAAACCTGGTCAAAACTTTACCAGTGTTGGACCATTCGCTTTTAGAACAAGATATTTTTTACAACATAGAATTTTTTTTTATTAGAGACTCATATTTTTTGTCATAATTTTGTATTGATTATTTTATGGTATTACTCAAAATGTTAATTCTGAAACTGTAGGCTATCTCTGATATTAACAGTTAATGTTTTATTTGAACAATTCTTTAATACAGCATCAAGAATTCAGTTCTTGATATCAACAAATTTTTAATAGCAACAATTACATTTTCTCATCAACAATTACATTTGTGATATCAACAATTTAATTCCTGATATAAAAAATGTAATTGTTTCTTTACAATTCCATGAATAATATGTTCAATTACATTATTTATATCAACAATTAAATTGTATGAACAATTAAGTTTTTTAAATCAACAATTTAATTCTTGGTATCTTTAATTGTTGATAATAAAAAATGCGGATGCATAAATTGAATTGTAAGTTAGAAAAATATTGTTGATATTAGAAATTACATTTCAACTAAAAACAAAAATCTAATTTTGATACCAATTATAAAAAATATACATTTGAATAGCATGGCAGCCTGGTGACAATTAACTAGAGCAAATATAATCATCAATAATTTAATTATTAATACCAAAATGTAATTTGATATTAAAAGTTGAAATTCAATTCTTGATACAAACTATTACATTTTTATTCATTATTAATATACATTAAATTCTTGATATGACCAATTAAAGTCTTTGTTTTTTAAAAACATTCAAATTTAATAGTTGATATCAATAATTGAGTTAATATGTAATTTCTGATATCAACAATATTTTTTTAAACTAACAAATTCAATTTTTAATATGAACAATATTTTTTCTTATCAAAAATTCAATTTGTGATATAAAAAATTCTATATTTTATATCCAATATATATATATATATATATATATATATATTTATAAACATTTAAATTGTTCACATCAACAAGTCAATTTTGATCATGTTTTGTATTTTACAATATTACTGTTTTTGATCTGTTTTATTAATGTCAATAAATGCAGCATTGATGGGGGATATCTGGCAATGCTTATCATATTACCTTAGATGTTTGAACTCTTAATAAAGAAGAACAAAATTATTAGTTATTCCCGACAAAGTTAACCTTTTTTTCTCTCTCTTTTTCTCTCTAATTATTATTGTCGTTGTTATTATTGTGTTTATATTATTATAACACATATTTTTAAATTATTATTATCATTTTGGCTGTGCAATGTGAAATGCAAACAGCACATATATATTGTATTGTCCCCAAAAGTTAGTAAGTTTTCTCATTTGATTTTCATAAATCTGTTATACAGTAGATATAAAAATTATTTGAAGGACAATTTCTTTTTACATTTTTATTATTTCAACACCATCTCACAAAATTATTATTTATAATCATTAAGTTGTTATAGACTCTAAAAGCTGCTTCGCATTCTGTATTTGAAAAGAATAATACTTTGAAAATAATAATAATGGTTATCACTAATTGATAGGAAGACTGAAGAAAGCAGAGGAAAAAAAACAATAACAAATGACACATTTATTACCTTTTATATTAGCCTTTAAGGACCTGGGTGTAATTTTAATTAAAATTTTTAGATGCACACGTGTGAATTTAAGTTTTTAAAGGGGTGTACAAGTAGAATTCAAATATGTTCCAGGGTTTTCTATTAAGATTAGCTATCGTTTACATGCTGGCAAGAAAAGGTGATTACATGAGAAAAGTGTATCTTAATAATAGATTAATCTAAGTATACATTTATTTACTTATTTATTTATTTATTTATTTATTTATTTATTTTTTATTTATTTATTTATTTATTTATTTTATCATACTAGACTGAATTCTTTAAAATGAACCAAATAAAACGAATGATGCACATTATTATCATGTATGACAATAACAAGAAGCAAGGACACACAAAAGATAAACTTTATTTATGTTTAAGGATACAAAATTAAATTAAAGCTAAGGCTATTGTATTTATTCACTTTCATCATTTTTGAGCCTTGTACAGGGTTTTTTAGGAACATCATAATTTAAAAAGGAAAATTCTTGGAAATACTATCTTAAACACTGGTAAAAGCAAAAATGCACTGTAATGTCAAAAGTGTTATATATTATTATTAATAATCAATAACAATAAACTGATAGAGGCATGTTTTTCATCACACAATGGAATGCACATAATCCATCTGACAAACAACTGATTCATGCAGGATTTTTCAAATAAAAGATCAACTAAAGAATAGTAATTAATATCATACTTAAACTTTCTTTTGACTCATTATGTTATTGGGTTTATAGCAAAAAAGTTAATTTAAACCAGTGTGAACCAGGTTTCGGAAACTTTTATTTTAGTATGTAGACGTACTTCCAACTGAAAGGGGGCATAGGGGGAGTAGGGGGCTTTTTTAGCGTATCATTCCCTCAAAGTAAAAGTGAAAGGGGCGTGGTTAAGAATATTGAGGCTAAAGCTGTCAAACTGACGTCAGAGAAGGACCACCACTATGGAGTCAATCTAGGGCCATATACTGTATACTTGCAAAATAAAAAAATGTTTTGCAAACAAAACATAAAGTTTTGAGCAAAAAAAAAATAAATAAATAAATGCAAATCTCTAAAAATCCCAAAGTGAAAATTAATTTTTGTGAAATAAAAAATATAATTTTGCTAACAAAAACAAAGAACTGCAAAGGAAAAATTACGTTTTGAGAAATAAAAATGAAATTTGCAAACAAAAAAATAGAACTGCAAATATGAAACAAGAAATGCAAAAAAAAAAAAAAAAAAAAAAAAAAAGCAAACAAAAAACTAAAATATTTGCAATAAAAAAATATATACTTTGCAGAACATTTTTATAGAAACCTTTACAAAACACCTCCAGTCAATTGCAAGGCTCATTTTGATTTGCTTTTTAATCAATCGTGAGTTTGACATGTTATTTTATTTTGCACACAAGGGAACTTGGCTGTTTACAGCAGGCCTGGACCTACAGGGCTGTAAAACCACCTCGGTGATACTGTTTCTCCAGGTGATGATGTCACTTAAATGGAGGCAGGTCTGAGTCATTGATTTGAGGGATTTTGTAAAGGCAATGCTTTAAAAATGTTTTTGCAAAAAAAAAAAAAAAAAAAAAACTCCATACACCAATCCAAACGTGAAAGCAACCGGTCAGACATTGATTGAAGATTACGGAATCAGTGTTTTCTTCAGTTTCAACACTTTTTTTTCAGTGGATTAACATGCACAGATTAATTGTTCATCTAAAAAATAAGAATGTTCGCTAGCAAAATAAACACAGTAAATTTGGATTTCACACAGACTTTAAAAGGAGAGAAAAGGATGTATAAATGACAGAAAATAGTGTGAAAACTGCTAATCAAAACTAGTGTTAGCTTATTACCATAGATATTTACACTAGATGTCGCCTACTGGAAGGAATGCATCCATAGAGCCGCCATTTTGGTACAGGGTAGCACTCTTATGAAATTAATGTGGACCAAGGTGCAGCGGCAATATACATACACACATATATATATATATATATATATATATATATATATATATATATATATATATATATATATAAGATTAATGGAGAAGTGATCGTACGGGTATTGCCAATAAAGACCGTGTGTTTGTGTGCATGGAAAGTACCCAGGTAGCAAAGAATTCTGGCCCAGATTTGGTATAATGCTGGCACAGCAGGCATTTGTCCGACACTGGCATAAAGCATGTGGGCCAAACATGGCCCGAGTCTTACAGGGGTGGCACCATCCTTAAGGCAGCATTCAGGATATATCAAAAGTAGTATTTGGCCCAGATGTTAAAAATGTATGTGTGGGCCCTGTAAGTTTGGCCTACCCAGACCCACTTTTAAAATACAATTATTTTATTTTTGAGTAAAGAATAATTCTACCAATCAGGTTGCTTCGAGAAAAAGCCTGGCCATAAAGCGAAATGCTTCATAAGTTTATCAAATTCATTGCTGTCGTGAAAAACCCACATATCTGGGTGAGTTCAGGACAGTAAATTGGGCCAGATATGGTGGTCTATGTCTGGCCCTTGTATGAAAGACAGAATTGGTCCAATCATGTACCGTAATTCACTGCGGCATGTGGGCCAAACAAAAGCTGATTGTGTGGGCCAGATCGACAGTGGTCTGGATGCAGACCTGATGCAGTGCAATCTGGGCTGCATCCAATGCTTTTTAATACGCTGACATTGCATGGCTAAGTAATGCAATCTCAGCTTGCATCATATAGGCTGCATCCAGATAGTATTGGCCAGATCTGGACCAGAGAAAATTTGCTGTGTGAATATTATCCTCCCTCCCTGTTAAATTGGATCGACTCCATGTCCAGAAAAAACATTCCCATTTACTTCTAATTCTAACAGAGGGAGTGATGTGTTTGTGAATGAATCTCTATTATAAATGATTTATGTAAGCCATCGAAATCCCTGCTTCTCAATGTACATAATATCCACTTTTCTAAGCTAAATAGTATATAAACATTTTAATATTCAATATTTCAGGGTGAAAAGTATGCACGTTAAGGTGCAGGCACTATTAGTGACTTTAAACTAGCCGTCACTTCACTTATCCGACAATAATACAAGTTTCTGGCACCACCATCTTGTTGTAATATTTCATTTACATTTTCGCTGGTTGCAAGTTGGTGCTATACTTTGCCTTTGGGTCAGTAGAGGTAGTGGCTGTATTATCATTATTACATTACATAATGAGCATACAAATTCATAACATATAAAATCGTAAAAAACGAAATCTTACAGATGAAATGTTTTGCCTTTATGCTTTGTTTTCTTTGTTTGCTCGTTACTACACCTGTACACAGCGCAAAAGTCCAACATATTCAAATTGGCTTTGGTCTTGTGGGGTTTAATCCCTTTTGTCTCGGGAGCCCTGTACCAATATGGCGGAGATATTGACGCATGCTCAGTACTCGTATGCGACATTTAGTGTTTATATCTATGGTATATTACAGGATCGGTTTTACAACCTTTCCTCAAGACAATCTTTGATTATCATTTTTAGTGGTTTGTTATTAAACACCAGCTCTAACTGATGCAGAGATTTTGATCTTTTGTTTCTAAAGCAAATTCCACAGAAATAAGTAAATATTGAACAGTTTGCTCCCTCTTTTCCCAGACTGAATCAAATGCATTACTTTGTAACAGCTGCATTGTAAACAAAAGCACACAGTTACACATAATTCACAAGCTTTAGGCTTTAGACCCCAAAACGCAAAGTGATCTATATTTGTTCTGTTTCTGACTTCACGTTGAGTTAAAACACAGAGTCTTTACACAAACACTTTGCTTCCTCCGGATTTCTGTAGTGGTTTACATGAGTCTATAAATGTGCAAAAGAAGAGTAAATCTAACAGGGGCCCTTGGAAAGAAGAATGAGGACAAAATTATAAAGACTGAGAGGAGATTTGATCTGAAAAGAGCAGCAAAATGAATAGTTGGCACGTTGTGTGTGGTGTCGAGTGTGAAAGATCAGACGTTGAGTGAGGAGGTGATTTTGGCCCCTGGATGTTAGCTTCTGGATTTGTCTCAGGTGATGATATTAGGCCCTCTGCGTCCAGTTCGTTCGTGGATGTTGGAGATTTTCAGAGCAATGGCGATGAGAGGACCCAGCACAACCTACAACCATCAAAGATAAGAGATGCACGCCAGTAACATGAGACAAATTACACTAAATTACGTTTTATAAAAAATATTCTTGGCTGAATCAATGACACTTGTGGTATGCATGTTGATTACAAAAAAGTAATTGTCACTTATTGAGATATACTGTGCGTACAGTGGTAGGAAAATGAAACTGAAATGCCTGGTTTTAGACCACAATAATTCTTTGGTATGGTATAGGGCCTCCTTTCGTGGCCAATGCATCATCAATTTGTCTTGGGAACCAAGTGGCCAGAGGGATTTTGAGCCATTATTCTTCTAGAATAGTGGCCAGGTCAATACGTGATGCTGGTGGAGGAAAACATTTCCTGACTCTCCAAAGTAGATCAATAATATTTAGATCTGGTGACTGCGCAGGCCATGGAAGATGTTTAACTTCCCTTTTCATGTTCCTCAAACCACTCTGTCACCTGATTCACTGCACCGCCTTCAGGATACAATGTTTGGACTATTGAGTGCACATGGTCCTTCAGAGTGGTTTAGTAGTACTTGGCAGTGACGGCATATCTAGCACAAGTATTGGGCTGAGGGAATGTCATGATATTGCAACCCAAACCATCACTGATCTACCCCTATGCTACACTTTGGCCATACAACAGTGTGAGTGGTATGCTTCTTTGGGGGCTTCCCCACACTGTGACATACTCCCAGATGTAGGAAAGACAGTGAAGGTGGACTCATCAGAGAACAATACTGTGGCGAGTGAGGTGGGGCCGAGAGCCCTGAGGGTGTGCGAGGTGTGGCGTGAGTGAGATAATCAGGGACACCTGGACGCATCACCTGCCTCGAGTCTCATGGAAGAGCCCTGGAAGCTAAAAGGAGGAGAGACACTAGTGCTGGGAGAGAGAGGACTGGGCCCGGATGTATTGTTTTACTTTTGCTTTCAGCCGTCCGTTTGTTTTTTTTGCTCATTAAACCTATTTAAAAGAGTTACCCAGTTGCCCTCGCCACTCAGAGAGAGGCTGGCAAGGAAAGGATCTGCCTGCAGCTGTAACCCAGTATGAAGTGGAGCAGAGGATGTGGGGCTCACCACCGAAATGGAAAGATCTTAGAGGAGCCATCCCAGAGAGCCCAGGGGAGTCATCACTGTCCGCCATGATGTCGAAGCCTGCGTCCATCCACAAAAGCAGGAGTGGAGCAGAGAATAGAAATGTCGCCAGCCAGGAGATCTGCTACCAAACACCAGAAGACGTACGAGTGGATAGATATTTCTAGAGGGCTTCCTGCACATCGTCAGATTTCTCATCTGGTTGAGGGCCGAGTGGCAGCATGTCTGAAGAACTGAACCCCATTTTTTATGTGGCAAGTAAATCGGGGTCGAGAGCCGAGAGGGTGTGCGAGGAGGGTGGTATGATAGTCAGGGACACCTGGACGCATCACCTGCCTTATGTCTCATGGAGGAGCCCTGGAAGCTAAAAGCAGGAGAGACGCCAGTGCTGGGAGAGAGAGGACCGGGCCCGACATATTGTTTTACTTTTGCTTTTATTTTGATGGCAGTCTCCGTGAAGATTTGGTTGAAGTTACTCCTGTTGGATGTGGTTCTTGCTTCTTGGTCTCCATGAGGAGTGGTTGTCTATTTGTTTTACTTGTTCATTAAATATTAATTAAAAGAGTGTCGGTTCTCCACCTCCTTGTTCCCGAACTTCATTACAAATACATTTTTCACATTGTCCACAGGCCAAGATTTTCACCGCTGGCACCATTGAAACAGATCTTTGGCATTGGCAGGAGTAACCAAAAGTTTGGTTATAGCAGCCCGGCCATGTATATTGACCCTGTGGAACTCCCGACAAACAGGAGAAAAACAAAAGAGTTGAGGTGCACATTTAACTCTGCAGTAATCCATGTTAGCACCCGGACATCCTTTTCAGATAGCTTCCTATTGTGTCCACAGTTACTCCTGTTGGATGTGTGGTTCATGCTTCTTGGTGGTATGATGACATTACCCTGGATACTGTGGCATTTAATAATCACAAGGAATGGCAGACTTGGTCACAGATGCGCCAAAGAGACAAACACCATCAATGTCTTCTTTTGAAGTTTGACACACCACCCACAATGTTGTATGCCATGCAATATTTTCTGCAAAACTGTACTTTTACTCTGCTACTGAAACCTTCACACTCTGCTCATACTAGTGGCATGTACAATCAATGAAGATTGGCCACCAGGCTGCTCAAATTTAGCCATGAATCCTCCAACACTAAATTGGCCAGTTTTTCAGTTTGATTGTTCAAGCCCACAAATAGCAATAGACACACAGAGGGAAATTTAAACAGAGTCTGATTGACAGCCCACATACATGCTTCAGCCCACATTTTTGTGAAACTGCAAAAACATAACTTTTCAATAATAATTACTGTACATTTATTGCATAAATATTGCATTACTACCCATACTGTAAATATCTTTGTAAATATATATCTTTCAAAGCCTGTGAAGTGGACTTTTTCAAAAGCATAATTGCCTATTGAGATACAGTGACAGACTGTGAGCCAAAGTGAAGATCCTGTATTCACCTGAGTCTCTCTGTTGTGTCTTTCAGGGTCTCTCTCGTAGCTTTCAGCATAGATGCGAACGGTTGCTCCTGTTCCAGACCCAGAACCACTGAGCCGAAAGATGATTCGGGATGAATCGGTAAAGATGATCCTTAGGCCCTGCAGGACAAGAACAAAAAGTACGAATGTAGACCATTTAATGCTAATTTAACTCAGGTTAACGGACAGCGTGGTGGTGCAGAGGGTAGTGCCGATGCCTCACAGCAAGAAGGTCACTTATTCAAGCCTGGCTGGGTCAGTTGGTATTTCTTTGTGGAGGTTGCATGTTCTCCCAGTGTTCGCATGAGTTTCCTCCGGGTACTCTGGTTTCCCCCACAAGTCCAAAGACATGTGGTACTGGTGAATTAGGTAAGCTAAATTGTCTGTAGTGTATGAGTGTGAATGAGAGTGTATGGGTGTTTCTCAATGATGCGTTGCAGCTGGAAGGGCATCCGCTGTGTAAAACTTGCTGGATAAGTTTGCGGTTCATTCAGCTATGGTAAAAAGAAATTGAATGAATAAATGAATAATTTTAACACTTGTAGTTCATTACACTGTCCACTAGATGTCAAGGAAAAACTCTTTAAAGATCCAGACTAATTGAAAACTACTTCTTTTAGCAGTCAAAGAGTGACATGATGTGAATAACTACTACATTGAGACAGTAAGTTGAAGAGTGATTAAAAACTCTTATAAGATTTCTTCTCATTAGTTTAAAAAGTAATAATCATGCCACTTTTTGTCGTTTTTGAGTTAGGAATAGTTGTGGCCTAATGGTTATTAAGTTGACCTTCGAAATTGAAAGGTTGCAGGTTCAATTCCTGGTCCCGGCAGACAGACAGACAGACAGACAGTTTAGTAGCCCTGTGAAAGCCTTTGCCTCTGTGAAATTTGCATTCTTTTTCAAATATTTTTTCAAGCGATGTTTAACAGACTGAGATTTTTTTTTAAAGTATTTCCTAAAATATATTTTTTTCTTCTAGGGAAAGTCTTATTTCTTTTTTGTTTGTTTGTTTAAGTCATATCTGTTTAAGGTCAATATCATTATAAAAACCAATGTTGTCCGATGAATTGCTCAATTACCCTAACTTGTCAAGTTAACATAATAACATTAAGCCTTTAAATTGCACTTTAAGCTGAATACAAAAGAAGTATACAAATATTATGTACTGTCACTGTGGCTAATACAAAAGAAGTTAGTTATTAAAAAATAGTAAAACTATTGTCTAATATTACTAATATTAATATTACTATTGTTTAGTAAAACTATTTTATTAAAAATGTGTAGAAAAAAATCGTCTCTCTGTTAAACAACAGTTTAAAAATAATTAAAATTTTAAAGGAGGGGTAATAGTTTTGACTTGGTGTAATAATAAATTTAAACTGTGTGTAACTCATTAAAATAATTCATTGTTCTTTAATTTTGATCTTCACTGCAGACAGACAGGCATGCATCTAGTTTAAAATCCTTAGTCTGAAGTGAAAGGCAGAAGCACTGTTATTAATGGTCTTTTCACAATTAAAATTTGCCACAGGGCTCCTGTGAGGGTTGGGTTTAGGGTAACGCAATATAATAAGTGATTTTTAGAGTATAAAATGCACTGTCCTCATAAACCACCAAAACAAATATGTGTGTGAGAGTGTCTCTCTCTCTCTCTCTATCTTCAGTGGGCCCACAGACATGCAGAGAGGAAAGCAGGACAGCTGACACAATCCTGCAATGGCAGGAATGTCTGTTGTAATAATACACAGTCAGCTGTGGAGACGCCGGCCGGATGACTGAAGAGACACTGACTGAACGTCAGGCCCTGACCCACAGCACCCGTGTGTGTCAAATCACTCCAGATCAGCAGAGAGATCAGAGCTGTTACTGCCTTGTATGCTCACCAAGGCTGCATTTATTAGAAAAAAAAGTAAAAATTAAAACTGTAAATTATTTAAAAATTACAATATTTTTAGCATCATTACTCCAGTCGTCAGCGTCTTATAATCTTTTAGATATCATTCTAACAAGTTGATTTGATAAATTGAGAAACAATTCAGGCTATTATAAATGTTGAAATTCATTTTTTTTAACAGTAATAGTTTTTTTAGCATTCTTTAAAGTAAATAAATGTGAAAGATTTATTTGACAAAACGTTTTTGGAGACACTTTTTTTTTTCCAGTAAATTAAGCATAATTATCCACATCAAACCCCAACTGTAGCCCTTATCCTAGTAGTAACAGTACAGTACATGTTGTTAATTAATATAACTTGGTGGATTTGTAAAAAAAAACCTGTCCTTCGCTATATGCCCTTCGGTCACAGAATGTTTATTTACCGTCTGTTCCTAAAGTGCAGACTGAGATAGGAAAAAAAGGCTTTTAAATATGCAGCACCTGTTGCATGGAATAATCTACAAACAAAGTTGCAGTTTATAGAATTGATTTTACTAAATGTTTTTAAAAAGAGTAAATGATTTAGAAATTGAAACACAGGCTTGTAGATGTTTTGAAAAGTTTGTTTGTCAACATGTTAACTATCAGTTGTTGTTTGTTTATTGTTTGTTAGACCCATGTGACATGTATACTGCCTAATCTTGGCCAGGACACTTTTGTAAAAGAGATTTTTAATCTTAATGTGTCTTTTCTGGTAGAATTAACGGTACAATAATAATAATAATAATAATAATAATAATAATACATTTTTTTCTAACATGACAGTTTAAACTATATTTTGTAAAGTGTCTTTACCATTGCTTTCTATCAATTTTATATGGAAGCTTTTTTTCAGTTCAGAAAGATTATTGTAAATTTTTATTTCACAATTCAGACTTTTTCTTGCATTTTTGAGTTATTAACCCACCTCAGAGAGGAAAAAAAAAATCTTATGAAATTAGTAATATAATAATTATATAATACATATAATAATTAAATTATAAAACAATAATGATGAAAAAATAAATGATGAGGTTTTTTTGATTTAGCAGGAAAAAAATTATTACAAGATATACAGTAAACATGTTTAACAGTATAGCTCAGAGTTTTCAAGATAAAGGTAGGCTAAATAACTGGTAATGATGAGATATATTGTCACATTTTAGAGGCGACATGGTGATGCAGTGGGTAGCACTGTTGCCTCATAGCAAAAAAGTCGCTGGTTCGAGTCCCGGCAGACAGATTCTGAGACATAAATGAGATGAAAAGTAGACGAGGTGTCGAAACGCAAAGGGTAAGCTGTCATGAGCGTCAAGAGGTCAAGGTTTAGCTGGTTAGCCTCCAGTTAGCCCCTACCGGTGGATACTATAACTACACTCAGAAATGCCTGTTGTTTGTTCAAGCTACTTATTTACAATAAACTAAAACAACACAATTCCTAAGTTTTTTCTTTGGGACAACTTAATTGTTTGATGTTCAATCCACTTAAATTTGTAAAAATCAAGAAGTTAACTTTCTTCAGGTTGTCTTAACATAAATCAGTTGTCTGCAAACCAGTATTTTTTACTGTGAACATACTTTTAAGTGCATGGAGAGATTATTCGAGAAAGAGCAGAGGATGGTTTCCACACATTCCTGTTGAGAACTCTGTGAGTCAGCTGGGCAAGCTTCAAACACAAGGCTACGCAAGTGTTTATATGTGTGTCACAGAGACCACTGACGGGCTCTGAATCTTGGTACAGCAAATCCAGGCCAGATAAAGATAAAGCATCTCCTGAAACATCCTTCTCCCGTTACTATCAAGCACATGTGTGTCTCCGTCTGCTGCAGCACATCCTCCAAAAAAGGAGTGAGAGAGAGGCTGAATGAAAATTGTAACAGATTCTCGGCACGTGTTTATTGTTCATTTCGCAAATGCCGTGTATACCAAACACGCATAAGTGTGATTGTAGATGCCCAAACAAGGAATGCCAGTCAGGGTCTGCATTCATTGGGTGGTCCGAGTGCGCAACAGGGCGCGTGCCACACTAAATAGCGTATAATTGCTGAACATAAAACCTTAATGCTTAACAAACCCCTGGCAGCTCTTTATACGAGCGACTAAGCTGCAAAATCGCTGACATTTCCCCATTATCTCAGATGAATAAGATGCACTGCGGGACCAACGCACGCATTTGTTTTCATCTCCAAATCACCAAGTGTTTATAATGGTTTGGTTGGAATTAATTAAACGCTTTTGCGGCCGACATTCATTTTCTTTTGTTTGGTCAGTTTGGATCTCATCGCTGTAATTTATTTTCCATCATTTTTCATTTAGATGACCTTTGCACTCACTAAATACTCACTTTGAGTTTATTTTGTTGTAAGACATTAATCATTTAGGGTGTGTTCAAACTTGTAGTACCGCACTCTTGATTTGAATGGGCCGGACCAGCAAAAGAAAATATTAGTTTTCTTTTAAGAAAAAGAAAAGAAAATGATGTTTTCTTTTAAGTTTACAGTAAGTATACATTTATAAGATCAAATCTAATGATATATATGTCTTGTTTTATCAGTTGGAAGCCACGAGAGCTTAAATTGTGTTAAAAAAAAGTCAAAACAGTGTCAGAAATTCCTGTCACACACACAAATGTTTCAGACAACTGTAATGGGTAACATCATTATGAAGAGCTGGTGTGCTTGACAGATCTGTTCTTTAAACAGATCATTCATTCATTTTCTTTTCGGCTCAGTCCCTTTATTAATGTGGAGTCGCCACAGTGGAATGAATTGCCAACGTATCCAGCACATGTTTTACATGGTGGATGCACTTCCAGCTGCAACCTGTCACTGGGAAACACCCATTCACTCTCAATCACACACATACACTACGACCAATTTAGCTTAAAAAATGTACCTATAGCGCATGTCTTTAATCTGACACACGTGAACACGGAGAGAACATGCAAACTTCACACAGAAATGCCAACTGACCCAGCTGAGGTTCGGATCAGCAACCTTCTTGCTGTGAGGTGACCGTGCTACCCACTGCGATTGTAACTGTGATAGCGTGTGTACATCTTGGACTTAGCAGTCATAACCCTACTCCAACAAGATTGAGGGACAAGAGACTGACCGTCGGGTCTAGAGAGGAACACCACTGGCATCTACAAAAAATGAACTAAAGTGGCAGCAGGAATCCATTGTAAGAGATGAAAACTTAATTCATTGTAAATTCGTTTTTAAGAGAGAAAAGAGTTTAACTTTTAAACTTCTAATTTTGAGATTAAATCTTCAATTTGAGGTGAAACCATATTGGCAGATCTGTATTTATGGGATAGCACTGATTATAGATCTAGGTGGGATATTTGTTGTAGGCACAATTTCCTATAAGGAAACACGGGAGGCCAGGGGGTCACGCTTGTCCACAGCTAGACACAAGATAGACTGGAATCATTGGCTAGCTATCTGGGTAGAGATAGGTTTTTAGTTTTTGATTTGGTAAATTGGGGTGATTAGGACTTTGCAGTGTTAACGGGGTCACGAAGCAGACGTTGAGTGTCTGCTTACATGACAAGGGAGTTTGCACAAGGGCAAGGTGTAAGGTGTAAGATGCCACGACAGAACCAATAAATTATTCTACACTGATTTTCAGATTACACTGTGATTTTTTTTTATTATTAATTCTGAACTTTTCCCAACAGATGGCACTTTCAATCATCATACTCTGATTGCTTCCAATTTCTTTATCATGCCACTTGAACATAAAACCAGCCCTACGAAACATTCAGCCAAATACTGTATGCTGCTCTAAACCAACAACAATAGAAAAAAATATGTGTTTCCTTTTTGAAGTGAAAATGGAAAACACAAAGACTGTAACTTGACATGAACTGACCTGTTTCCGTGACACACTGCCGTCCACTGGGTCTATGTACTCAAAATTATCGGCCTTCTCCACACTGTAGACAGTATTGCCCACTGAAAACTTCTGAGTGGTGAAAGCTTTATCAGTGATAACGGCCTCCAAATCTCTCATGAGGTAAAACGCTGCCTTGCCGTCCACTCCTTCATAATCAAACCTGTCACAGAGAAAAAAAAAAGTGTAACCAAGTGTAACAAATGTAACCAACAGCAATAAATAACTACTTCTTTACTATTAGACGAGCTCTCAGCATTCTCTCATGATGTCTATGAAGAGAGTTATATATGGGGATTGTGGGAAACATGTATGGGAAAGGGCAAAGCAATCCAGGAGATAAAGAGATGCTGTCTACTTCGTCTCAAAGGAAAAGAGGGTTTCTGCTGTATACACACACACACACACACACACACACAGACACACAGACAGACACACACACACACACACACACACACACACACACAAAATATCCTGAAATATCCCGGAAAAATTTCATGCTGATGTTGTTTTTGGAGAATTTTTGCTTGGGAATATTTTGGGCTCAACTCACCTGCAGAAGTAATTGCGTCCCAATTTGGCCCAGTGATCTCTCACAATTTCTTCCACTCCCTGCTTACGCACTGCCATGATGGACAACCAAACCAGAACTGACCACAGACCATCTTTATCTCGAATATGGTCTGAACCTGAAAGAAAAATAGACAGTCGTGTTTTGATGGTTTGGAAAGCTGCGTTGTATTGGATTTAACATACAATAAACACAGTAATGGATGTCACGGTGGCACGGTGGGTAGCACAATCGCCTCACAGCAAGAAGGTCACTGGTTTGAGCCTTGGCTGGGTCGGTTGGCATTTCTGTGTGGAGTTTGCATGTTCTCCTCATGTTTGTGTGGGTTTTTTCTGGGAGCTCCGGTTTCCTCCACAAGTCCAAAGACATGCGGTATAGGTGAATTGGGTAAGTTAAAAATGTCTGTAGTGTATGTGTGTGAATGGGTGTGCATGGATGTTTCCCAGTGATGGATTGTAGCTAGAAGGGCATCCGCTGCATAAAACATATGCTGGATAGGTTGGCGGTTCATTCCCTGGTTAATAAAGGGACTAAGCCAAAAAGAAAATGAATGAATAAATAAACACAGTAATATTAAAATATTTTGAAATATAATATATTTCTGTGATGTCACAGGCGAGCTTTACACATCATTTTTAGCTGCTTTGGAAAAATGGAAAATCAAAACATTTTTAGTGCTTACAACTTTCAAGTTGTTTTAAGACCAAAATGGCATGACATGAAATGGGAAGCAGATTGTATGATTTACCCTGTTGTTTCTGAATATGAGCATGGTTGTAATTGTGACACTCATTTTATTCAAGCATTCACTAATCAGTTATTATTAAGTTAATTAGCATTTTTTATTGACACATTTTTGTTATATTTTAACCAAGCGGCAACCTCCTGCTCTCGCTCGGGAAGCCAATATGGAAGTAACTGAAACAGACGCATTAAGGCCAATCTTCCAAAACAAGAAGAAAATCTACTGCTGTTTAGCTCCATCCATTGATTCGCATTGTAATATAGCTACTGTAAATAACGAGAGAGGCAAATGCATGTCTACATAAAAACAAACATTGAAGATGCTTTGAAGACAAGATGACTCTGAAATGCCAAGTTGTAATTGATGTAATTGATGAGATGACTCATATTTCAAGCTGAAATGCATCTAAATCATGACCTGATAATGACAAAATAAAAGCCCTCACTCCCTTGTTCTGCTAGATTTATGTTTGGCATCCTCTCTATGACTCTCTGCTTTTGATCTGGTTTGTTTCCTGTAATCACATGTCAGAAGAAGCTGCTGGAGTGCTGAGAAATGTCTACCGCATACTGTATCACACTAGAAGCTGCTGCATATTTCGTTTTGACCCCTCAAATCAAGTTTACTTCAAACAGCAGATTTGTACATCTATCAGCAAGTCAGACTATCATCTGTTAACAATCCCTTAGCTTACAAAACAATAAACGTGACACAGAAGGGATCAGGTTTACAACCAAAACGGAAACTTTCTTAACGTTCCAGTATTCCATAAACACACTCATTTGCACAAGACTTCCAACGCCTGCAAAACATTTTTTGTATGCATCTTGCATTTTTCATTTTGCAATGCAAATTACTCGCAATTTCAGTGTGGGGAACTTCCACTTAACCCTCCCAGTGACTAGCATGTCAAAAATGACACAATTTTACAGGAGAAAAAACAATGTTCTTTTATCTTGTAGTGTGGTGACTTTTGCAAAAATGTCACCAGCATTAGCAAACAGCATACTTCCATACTATATAGTACCCTAAAATCAGTATGCGAGCATAAAACTTGAAAATCAGTATGCGAGAAGCACTCAGATGACCTACTACTTCTGGCGAGACTCTGACGTGCGCAACCCATGCACGCTGCGCTATCCCACGATGCCCCTCGAGAGAATTCATGAACGGAAGTAAAGCAATGCAACTGACGCAGGTAGGACACGTGACCATAACAAAATGGTGAATGTAGAACATCTGAATTCCATTCATACTTTTCACATTCATACTGTATAGAATGTACTTTTCTAACGGCCGAGTAGTACGTTTAAATTCAAATGGAGTACTTACTGAGTAGTAGGCGGTTTCGGACGCAGCCAATCACTTTCATTTTTTTATGAACGTTGTAAAGATTAGGGTACTACGTTGGTCCTATGGGTCAATTTTGACCCGCCAGCAATGGAACCATTTTCATTAATTTTCCTTCAGCTTAGTCCAGCGATGTCAAACTCAATTCCCGTAGGGCCGCAGCCCAGCACAGTTTAGTTCCAACCCTAATTAAACACACCTGATCAAACTAATGGAGTCCTTCAGTCTTGTTTTAAGCCTACAGGTAAGTGTGCTGGAGCAGGGTTGGAACTAAACTGTGTAGGGCTGCGGCCCTCCAGGAATTGAGTTTGACATCCCTGGCTTAGTCTATTGCTGCATCCCAATTCGCATACTATCCATCCTAAATAGTATTTGAAAAAAGAATTAGTATGTTCCAAACCATAGTATGTTGTATATCAAAGGTAAGCATTTTAGGTGTGGAACCATCCATACTCATATCGCTGATATTGCCCACATTGTATGTTGGACGTGAATTCCATTAGAACTACAAATGCGGGTGAAAAGTGTAAATAAACTCCAAACATGATGGACGCGCGAGACCAACAGTCAAGTAGAGAGGCTTTGGTAAAGATGTTTGTATGTCTGTTAATTAATATCTAACCAACTGGAACATATTTAAATCGTGTTTTCTGTGTTATATTTTATCTGCAACAACAACACTGAACATATATAAAGACGTGTTTGGACATTTGAATGCAGAATTATCCAAAGACCCGAGGAGATTTCTCTGCATGAAAGACTTGTGAATGGCAGATTAACCTGCTGCTGCTGCTGCTGATTCTCCAATAATGTAGGAAATGAAATATGACAGAAATGTGGATGATGTGTGGATGATTGACAGAACTTATTAACTAAGAAACTTAGTGATCTGTTAACGAGGAAGCAGTATGTCCCAAAGCATGGATACTCTTCTGTTACACACTCAAAAGTATATTCTTTTCCTTCACAAAAAAGTACATACTTTTAGGGCGTAGTTTAAGTATGTGAATAGAATGCAGCATATGACAGGGGCCGCCACAGCGGAATGAATCCGACGAACTGATGAAACATTGTTGAAAATCACCACACTGATAGGAGAAAACCTAAACTTCCAGAATTTGCAATAAAGATGAGGTTGTTTCTTCATGCAAAATAGATTTTTGAGGATTGAAATTCAATTTAGATGCATTGTTTTAGATGTTTAGTAAAGGCGGGGGGTTAACACAAGTGTAAAACAAAATAAAATTTTTGTATACTATTTTAATAGTTGACCCAGTACCACAAACCAGGCATAAGGTCGCTTTTATAAAACTGAGATTTATACAAAGATGTATATGACTAATTAAGCTTTCCATTAAAGTACATTCTGTTAGGAAAGGACAATGTTTGGCTGAAATGAAAATTTTATGATTCAAAAAAAAAAAGAAAAGTAAATTATGTTTTAATATATTTACAGTGGAAAATTTGCTAAATGTCTTCATGGAACATGATATTTACTTAATATTCTGATAATGTTTTAGCATAAAGGAAACATTAATACATTTGAATCATACAATGTATTAAGAAGTTTTGTGGTTCAGGGTCACATATAGTAATTCATAATGATGATGCACAACGAATAATCCATATAGGTGAAATAAGATTTATTTTGTTTTATGTCAGTATGTAAATAATAATAATAATAATAGTAATAGTATAATAATAATAATGATAATAAAAAATAGTGTTACACTTCACACGTATATCTGTGGCTATTTTGAGTTCATTGTGTTTTGATCCGTTTTTTTGTTTGTTTTTTTGCAGTACCATACAGTACAGTACTATTCAAGACATTCAAAATATTGCTGCAGAAAGGCTTATCTTAATTTTTTTTCTGCATTTTAACATTGGATAGATATACTACACTATATGGAAAAATGCACCCAGTTTTTTTTTTTAAAGAAATTCTTCCCTTATTTACATTTAACAGAAGTTACTTCCATAACTCAAACAAAGCATATTGTGGCCAAGAAAAAGTTAGAAAAGTAGTTTGTCAGAATTTTACAGACAGGAATGGAGAAAAAAAAGATGCTCCAGACGAGTAGCTCATGACAGGACTGTAATCCTGAAGTGAAGTCGGATCACGATGTATTATAAGCGGGTTTGCTCTTATGACACCTACAGACAAAGCCTGGTGTCTCACTCAAGGTCTCTGTGACGGTGTAAAACCCCGGAGGCTTTACAGATGGAGCCTGTTGCCTGCTGAGCCAAGCGTCTTTCTGCCCGGCAACATCATTCAGCACCAGTTGCTGATTCCACAATCAGCTGTCGACCAAAACACTAGCATTCAGTGGCAGACAGGGGCTTACCTTCACTTGGAAGTTTCTACGACTGTTGGTATTTTTGCCTTTGTGGATTTTAAATAAAGGGAAACTTTGAATAAATATATACAGCCCAAATATATTCATACCCCTTTCAAATTCTGAAGTTACGTAAATAATTTTTTTTTCCCCACAATGATGCCTCTATGTCGTCTTATTATCTTTTAAGAGTAAATTTGTCATTTCCAGTAAAAAAAAAAAAAAAAAAAAGGTTAAATAAATAAAATAAAATGACTATATATGACAATTCTTATTTTAAATAAATATTAAATATATAAAATGTAATTAATTTAAATGAATGTAAGCAGGGCAAATGAAATTTAAATGTAAATAAAAATTAAAATTAAATAGGACAATTCTGTCATAACTTACACCTATGTTGGTACACAAAACAAGGAATTTGGACTGATATGAGAACAAGTAAATGACAGAATATTTAGCATTTTTGGGTGAAATATTTCTATAAGAACATGCATTAACTCAATAGTTTGATTTAGGTTTGCAAATACATTACATACATAAAAGGGATTTCTTTCTGATATGTTTTGTTATACAATCAAATTTGATTTACATCACTGAATTTATTTTGAAAACACTTAGAAAAATTTATAAATTGACAACTTCTTCGTTTCACTATATACTATTTTTTTTATAACAAGTTTTGTGTCAATGCATAAAATAACTAAATAATATATTTATCACATTTACCAGTGAACTAATTCTGGCAGATCGCTAAAGAACTACAAATTTGCTGGTATATGGACTACACGTTCCAGTCATGCACCACAACATGCACTCCTGTTCCAGATCATAACTGATTACACTCACACAGCTGGGATCTGTTTAAAGACTGATTAGATGGACTTTAAATGCAGAGCACACACACACTGCTCTTTGCTGAGTCCTGTTATACTGTTTGTGAACATTACAACACGTTTTTCTTGCCTTGCCTTCCATGATTGAATCTTGCTTTGTTTTGTATGTTTTACGTTGTCTGCTGCCTGTACTGACCATTCGCCTGCTTTGACTACGACTCTGGATTTCCTGTATGCATCTGTTTGCCCCTGTGTTGACTGTTGCTTGCCTGATCATCTCTGTTTAATAAACCTATGTTTGGATCCGCACTTCCTTTTTCGTTGTCTCACTTCACATTACAATATTTATGCCTCATTTGACTACATTTAGGCCTTTTTTGAGATGACATTAAAATATACAGAAAACATTACTCTCTATATATAAACTCATTTTTCCTTGACATCACTTATAAAAATTTTATGACATATATTCATATTTTATAAATAAAAGTTAAAAAAAGAAGGAAATATGCCTGAATTATTATAGTTTTAAAATAAAATTTTAATATTGTTTTTAAGACTGATTATATGGTTCTCTATAAGTGGATATTTACACCATTTTTAAAAATATTATTATTATGACATATTTTTATATTTTAAGACAATGTATGGTCCTGAGAGAAGAGTAAAAAACTCAACACAATAAAATAATTTGAAATAAGGCCAATTTGACTAATAATATTTTTGTATAACATGTATCCATTTTCTAAGTCTAAATATACGGTTCTGAGATGAAAGTAAAATATACAACATAGAAACACATTTTTCAAAAGATGTCTTTATTATTTGTAAAATAACATTAGTAATAAAATTCTTGTCAGATTTTTATACTTTAAGAATATAGATTAAGAATAGTTTGAAAAGAAGAAAACATGTCTTGATTAATTTCATTCATTCATTCATTTTCCTTAGTCCCTATACTCATCAGGGGTCGGCACAGCGGAATTAACTACCATCTTATCCAGCAAATGCTTCACACAGCGGATGCCCTTCCAGCAGCAACCCAGTACTGGGAAACATCCATACACACTCATTCACACACATACACTACAGAGAATTAAGTTTATTCAATTCACTTTGTATAGCACATGTCTTTGGACTGTGGGGGAAATTAGAGTACTGACAGAAAACCCACGCAAACACGAGGACACCATGCAAACTCCACACAGAAAAGGCTTACAGAGACCCAGTCGGGACTCGAACCGGTGACCTTCTTGCTTTGAGGTGACAGTGCTAACCACTAAGCCACCGTGTCGCCTCTTTTTTAATTGGTCATGCCAAACTGTCATATGTAAAAGCCAATGCATAGTTCTAAAAACTAAATCTACACACAGTTATTTAAAACATGTTTCTATGCGAAATTAAACAAGAGCATAAAACGTTATAATCCTGCTTTCTTTTTTTTTTTCGACTGAAAAAAAAAACATCAAATGGTTTTGAAACATAATGAGATGGAGAAACTAAAACAAAACATTGACGATGACTCTTTAGCTCTAAAAGTGTTTTTATATGAAGCGCAAAGGACTTCATGACACCCACCTGTTCCGAAGCTCTCCTCTCCACAGAACGAACACCTCCCCGAATCCAGCAGGTTGCCAAAAAATCTCCAGCCTGTGGGCGTTTCATAAAGTGCCACTTTCATAGCCTTAGCAACCCTACAAAACAAACAGGAAGACTGAGAACTCCAGTGCAATCCTAGTTTATTTGGACAAGATCAAATCTCAAACAAAAATGGTCTCTCACTGGGAAAAAGCATCAAAATGTTATCAAAGTGTCTTTAACACTGTGTAATTAGCTATATGACACTGAAGTGGTACACTATAAATGTTTAAATTTGTCATCGCTTAGGTTTATTGTGTCTATTTTCGCCATCAATAGAAGTGTGACTAACTGTCAAGAGTAAAGGCTGATTTAAGGCTGATTTAGTCGTGTTTTGAATAAAATCAACAGCCCACACTAAAAGGAATATTTTCCATGTTAAATGGAGTTTTTGTCCTAACGAACACTTGAAATTGATATATTAGAAACAGCTTCTATTTCTTGCAGGTGAACAACAGGATAAACTGACAATGATCACCTCAGGTACACCTCATGTACATTATTCAGTGTTAAATGCTAATAATGGGTATTTGAAAGCCATTTTACTAAACATTTATTGTCATACTACTGAAAGCAGCAGCAGATAGTTCACCTCAGATCTTGAAAATAAAATAAACCGTTTGAAATTGATCTTCAGAACTGAGACTCGGTGCAAACCAACACATATCAGTGATTCAGCATGTGCATTTAATAATGTTGAAGAGGTTCAATATGTATTAATAGATTATAAACCTTATCATTTTGTTGGAGTGCAGTGAGTGCACTATTTTGTGCTTCTGAATGGCTGTATTTAAAGTCGTGTTGGGTCTGGTGCAAACAGCCAGATTGCTTATCACTGCAAATCTCATCGCGTAGCGTGTGGTTAGGACACGGAAAATGTAACCTGCTCACCTAATGTTTACGCTCATAATATTTATATTATTTGCTAATTTATAACCTCAGGAGGAACTCTGAATCTGCATCTCATTTTGGAGGCTGTTACTGTCCACCGGTGGTCGCATTTCAGTCTTGGACGCATACTTTAAGAGCCTTCCTGGCTGAATAAATCCCACCAGAGCAGCCCGGGGTGCTGAAATATAATAGGCTAAACTGGCAGTGGGAAACAGAAACTAAAACACGCACATAACATACATTTTCAAAGTAGAATATCTGTCTTCAGCATTGTTTTTTAGATAAACAAGAATGTTTACTTGGCATGTTTCTTAAACATATGCAAATATATTGTGGTCTTTTTATGCTTTAGAAGAGTCAAAAATGCAACTTTAACTTGCAGCACATTTGACCTCTCTCGGCCACCGTAAAATAAAATAAAATAAAATAAAATAAAATAAAATAAAATAAAATAAAATAAAATAAAATAAAATAAAATAAAATAAAATAAAATAAAATAAAATAAAAAACAAAACAAAACAAAACAAAAAAAAAAACTAAATAAAATAAAATAAAACAAACAAGCAAACAAGCAAACAAACAAACAAACAAACAAACAAACAAACAAATACATATTAAATTAAAAAAAAAACATATTTTTCTTCTTTTAGCTCTAGGCCATTCTGCCAAATGTTTAACGTGTGTTTATAAGTGTTAGCAGGACTTGAGTTCTGGATAATCTCAGCTCCAGACGCCCAGGGAATGTCTTTGCACTACAATAAGACGAAGACGTATGCTGTCTGAACACAAATACTACACATTCAGCCCTCTTTTTATCTTCCATTTGAACGCCAGTAAAGTATTGAGGGGAAAATGAGAAATTAGACGAACTAAAAAGCAGACTATAAATGGCTAACCCATGTTTATATCTGACTACTAGACTAAATGCTAAACAAATGACAAAACTGTGAAAAAAGACGGACGTCAAGGTAATGATCGTTTAGTATTTTGGTAGTACATTAGGTATCTGTCCTCCGCACTGATTCATTAATCAACCCGCACTTTTAGTCTTCTCAATCCTGTGTCTTTATAAGGCAAAAAGCCGAAACAAACCATGCTGACATTTTGGCTGACATTTATTTTGAGATTCAGCCATGAGCCTGGACGAGCAAACAGCACTTTAATCATCGGTGTGTGTCCTCCACACCTGTTTAACTTCCTTAAACTGTCACAGAAGTGGAAAATATAAGCCTTCTCCTCAACAAATATTGTCATACGGCATTATTATTTTATATTTGGGAATTGCAATCATTCATGGCTACTAAAATAAAAGACATTTGGTGTTAAAATGAAGGAGTTCGACAAAAACATGAGAAGGAACGCAATTACAAGTCTCCTCCTTTGTTTGTTGATCTTGGAGAGTTGGCAAGATTCATAACTATTTTCAGACGCTGCAATCTAGCATTATGGGTAATGAGTTGCTGAGATCCCATCGGATGAAGGGACAGATGACAGGGAGCCGATGTAAATGAGAAGAGTTAGGATGCAGCTGTTTACTCTTGGGTGGAATTACTAAATATGGGAAAACAAGTGTTATTGACTCAAGGGAAAGCGGAGTAGGATGGAAAGCCTGGCACGCAGACAGAAAAACCAGAGTCTTTGACCCCTTGACTTGTTTTCGATGATTTATTCTCATGTTTGTGGCCAACACAAGCAGCGCTATCTCTAACCCAGCATTGGAAATATTTGACATGTATATACATGTGTTTGCGCTGTTGAGGGCGTGACTGGATTTTAATGAACAATTCTGTCTTTAAAAGAATTAGAGGAATTTGGAAACTAATGTGCTCAGCTGGGTTTTAAAGTCGGCAGCTGTTCCTATAACCTCAATCTGGCAATAAAAGCCAATTATCAACTGGCAGAATGTTAGCACGAGTAGACATACTAAAATGATTTTCATTTACATTCCTCGCTGAGAGGTATATTAAAAGATTTCTGAAAGTGAGACTTTGAATGCCAGTGGTGCTTGAAATTGCTTAATTACATTATAAACAAATAGTTTCAGGATCTGACTGCCTTATAAAGACTAATTTAGTGAGAAACTTGACACATAGATAATGATGGCTTTAATAAAGTTGCATAGAGTTCAAAACACAGCTTGGCATCCAGCTTTAAGAAAGAAATAAAGTACCAACTGTTTATGCATTTTTCAGTTAAAAAAATAAATATTCATACACACTAAAAGGTACAAAATCTGTCACAGGTGTGGTACCTTTAAGTTAGGTGGACACATTTTTGAGCTCAGACTGGAATTAACTCATGAAAATGATTTAACTGCATGTTTGGAATAGTTTGTTCAATGGAAGTAAAAAATTCAGCTGAGGAGACTTTGAATTTTGATTTCTTCCCTTTCTTCACGCGTTTACCACTGTAAAGAATAAAAAGTTGAGTTGACTTACATTTTTAAAGCAACTGGCTGCATAGAACTGCTGCACGGTGTCTCCATATGGCAACATGATACTTTTGTTCATTTCCCTGCCACTGTTACTTAAAGACCAACATTAATTTTTTTGTTGTTGGAAAGAGAGGACCTTATTGTAGCTAATGATGTGCTTTGGTTAAGTCACATGACATGCTGTGCTTTTCTGTGGCATGATTTCTGACAGCCTGGCGTTGATTGTGATTAGTTGCTAAATGCAAATGTAAACATTAATAAAAAACAAAGGGTCAAATTATCTCAGATCGACAAAAAAATCTGAAACATTACCTCCAGTTAGGTATGATGACATATTCATAACATTTAAAAAAAAAATCAAATTAATTTTTTGTAAATCGATTAAATGTATGTGTTACACTGTCCAAGTGGAACATGCAATACTGCAATGGGTTAGCTAGCTAGCAAGGTCAGCTGTGAAGTTGTAACAATAACAACATGAATGCTAGTAATAAAATGTTGATTAGTTATGTATAGGGCCAGACGGAATCTGTAGACGTTTTTTTGTTATTTCTGCAGAGAATTTTGGTAAAAGTCTGCAGATTTCTGCGGAATTATTTTGGGAGTATCATAACTAAAAAAAAACTTAACATATAAATAAAAAAGCATATCATTTTAACTCTTATTTAATGTTTAAAATTTAAATCCAATTAGATTCACTTTATTTGGTAAAAAAGGAAGTTTGTCATATAATAGCTATATCTAGTAAAAGACATAAAATATTATTATACAAACTGCATTGTACATAAATCAGATGAACATTTTCACATTAGTCAATAATATTACTGAAATTAATTAAAAAAAATGAATAAATATAGATTTACACACATTTACTCAATAAATAAACAGAATTAATGATGGGCTAAAAATCTGCGTAATTCTGCACGCACAGATCCCGGGTGGGCCTGTGTTAATGGCATTTGCATTATGGATAAAATCTAGTTTTTCTACTTTTGAATAGATATGAATACAGGAAACAGAGTATTAGCGAGCACAACCATGTTCATGGTAAGTGAAAAAAGAAAAGGACAGAACCGGCTTTTCCTGCGGATGAAAGTGAGGGGGAGATGGGTTTTAGTGACCAGAAGGATGCAGACTGGACATTTGATCGAGACAGTTCAGGTGAGTTAGCTCAGAGGCAGATAAGAAAGGCGTAGTATAGTATAATATAGAAACACTGTTAGCTAGTAGCTACATTATTCTGAAGCATCTAGATATACTAGACTTGTTATTTATTATAATATTTACTGGAGAAAATATTTATAATTACTGTATGTTTTATACATGATAATACAATATTAGGTTTGTTTTTAATAATATTCAGCAAAAAATAAAAATTGGAATAAATGAAAGCTGTTGCAATATCAGTTGTTGGAATGCATGTATAAGGTGTCATTTATGGGTTCTGTGTTACAGCTTATAATACCTCAACACCAATTAAATCATTTTAAACAACAAGTTATTAATTATAAGGAAAGTTTTAAATGTGAAAGTTTTAAGTTAGATCCACTGTTGGACATTGTTGCCATATGGCAACATTTCATAAAGTACCTTAAAAAATATTTTTTTCCAATTTGTTTTTACAACACTTCAAGTTAAGCCATTTTAAGAAAAGTTTAAGAAAAACAGTCAAATATTTTTTTTAAATAGATTTATCATAATGCGTGCGGTAAAGGCTTATGCTTAGTTCAG